GCGCCTGCTGGGGCTGTGCGCCCCCCACCAGAATTAACCCCATCGAATGCAGCCGGGCGGCGTGGCCTTGACCTGTCGACCAGCAGAAAACCAAGGGGGGGGTCAGAGCTGGGGGGCACAGCTGCCACTGGGCACTGCTGTCCTTTGGACCCGGGGGGGCCATTTTGCTCCTGGCAAGCACTGGAAGGTCTCCCCTGGGGGAAGGGGGGCGCTTCCCCAGCACAGGGCCCTGTGGGGGCAGGGCCATGCGATCAAGAGTCGTTACTTGCTGCTCGGGCCCCGGGCCCCTCCCCATCTCGGCCCCACGCGGTTGGCACTGACGCTGTTCCTTGCCCCCCACCCCGACACAGGCCGGCGCGGAGATCTCCACTGTCCACTCCGAGCAGTACGCCAAGCGCTTCCTGGACTTTGTCACCAACATCTTCGCTTAGTCGCTAGCGGCCTGGAGAGCCCCCGTCCTGGCTGGTGGGAGCTGACGATCAAAGGTGTCCCCTTGGGGAGAGCCAGGGCTCCCCTCTCCCATCCAGTCCCCCCATGTGCATCTGCCCTGCCCCCCCGCAGGGCGGTGGTTCTCTGGGCCTGTCCCACGGTGTAATGTATTCCTAGGGGAAATCTCCCAGCTGGGGGGGCGGGGGAGTTAACACTAACTTGCACTGGGCTCCCCGCCCCTCTTCTCACACTACATCCCTGGGGCCCAGGAGAGCCAGGGCTCCCCTCTCCCATCCAGTCCCCCCATGTGCATCTGCCCTGCCCCCCCGCAGGGCGGTGGTTCTCTGGGCCTGTCCCACGGTGTAATGTATTCCTAGGGGAAATCTCCCAGCTGGGGGGGCGGGGGAGTTAACACTAACTTGCACTGGGCTCCCCGCCCCTCTTCTCACACTACATCCCTGGGGCCCACGGCTGGGCCAGGCCTTGGGCCCCATCCAGTCCCCCCATGTGCATCTGCCCTGCCCCCCCGCAGGGCGGTGGTTCTCTGGGCCTGTCCCACGGTGTAATGTATTCCTAGGGGAAATCTCCCAGCTGGGGGGGCGGGGGAGTTAACACTAACTTGCACTGGGCTCCCCGCCCCTCTTCTCACACTACATCCCTGGGGCCCACGGCTGGGCCAGGCCTTGGGCCCCAGCTCGGCTGCTTTGGCCAGGACCTGCCCCGTGTTCCAGCAGCCCCCTCCCTCCTGCTCCGATGACACCGGCAGCCCCGGAGCG